GAATAAGAAAAAGGATAAGGAGCGGGAGAGAGCGGGTGAGAAGCATACTTTATCACTGCAGTCGCCGGCATGCTGAATTTATTGATTCGTATAAGGCGACTGAAGGGAAGTCTCTCTCTTTCTTTCTTTCTTTCTTTCTATCTATCTATCTATCTATCTCTCTCTCTCTCTGCGAAGCACATTTTTATCTTTTAACTTTAGGCTTTTACCAATCTTTGAGTAATATGACTTTATAGTTGCCAGAAACTTGACAAGTGCGATGGGTGAGAGAGTAGAAGATGGGAATTTTTAGATTTTTAGATGTGTGATGAAATTTCAAAATGCAAGGCTTTTAATTAACAAGATCAGTTACGTGTTAAATAAGGCATTCTTGGAGGATGCATAAGACCATTCTCGAAATCCCGGATTAGAAGACAGGAATCCGAAAGTTCGCAAGTAACGCATGCACATACATGCTAAGCCGAGCTGTTTCGGTAGGATCGGCACAAAAACTATCTACCAATAATATTAATTCGATGACGAGGAGCGCGTAGGTGGGAAAGCGAATTGGCCCGCCTTCCTTTTCCCGCTAATGCAATTTGCATAGTACAGCGTGCAGATAATTAGGTAGGGTTAAGGAAGAGATCGATAGTGGTCGGTGGGGGGTTTGGTAAGAGCCGGGGGGGGGGGGGGGGGGGGGGGGGGGTAAGGGCGCCGCCACCGGGAGTTCACGGAGGAGGCAGTCCGCGGGAACAGGCGAGTAAATGAAAACAAGTACGGTCGGCAGCCGCCGTCCGGCTCACCTTTCGACTCAGCTTAGGCTCCTCCCCTTCACCTTCGGCCCTCGCGGCACTCGTCGTGGCGATGATTTGACTGAGAAACACTGCTCCTCCCCCGTAGGACGATCACCAGCTCGGGCTGCGGTACATCGGACCCCTCGCGACCTAAGCGTGCACGCGGTCGAAAATTACGAGGACTGTCAGCGTCGGCTGCTTCACCCGCGGAACCGCGACTAATCGCACCTCGCCACTCGTCCCGACTGTTGGTCAGTCCAGGCCGCCAACGCGAGCCAGAGCGCCGTTTTCCAAAATCAGCCTCCTTCCAGGAGTCTGCGTACTCCCGGCCTCGCTGTCATTGGCTCTCGAAGCCCGGTCGCTTTGAAAGATGGAGGTGCGATCGGTCGCTTTTCAGCTACACGGGCCTGCGCTCATTCCCCGGACACGAGGCTCATGCGACTTTCGAAATAAGCGCTTCGAGCGAAGCCAATGGTGACGGGGGTGGGGGGGAGAAGCTGAAAAGCGCACAATCCTCGTAAGGACCAAAAACGGCGCTCGGACTCGCCGCACTTCCGATAAACTCATGGCTGCTTGCGTTTCCTTCTTGGCGCCTGCGCCGTGGCACTTGGGTTCGAAATGACAGCGGGATAGTGGTGTGCGGCGAATAGAGGAAGGAAGATTTGCGGCGTAGAAGTAAATGTGAAGCGGGATAGGGGAATAAACTAGGAGGAGGTTCGACTTATATCGTTTGTTCAAGTCGGCGAATATGTAACGAAGGGGATTCCAATGACGTTCCTATAACCGGCGACCTCCTACGTACTTTTGGCCGACAGTTTTTTTTAGCATTCGCTTCGCCTCTTCGCTGATAATTAGTAATAAGGGCTTTTAGTGATTATGCCAAGGAAAAATGCGTCGTAAAGTCCTTCGTGACATTCGTTTATCAAATTTTCTACAGGTTTTTGTCTTCAAAACAAAAACAAAAACAAAAACAAAAAAAAAGAAGGAAAAAAAACAATTCCGACATAACCTAAAATACTGGCACTAACAAGAGTTGAGTCGCGTTTGGAAAGATATTCTTAGCATATGCTACATTTTCATCGAAAGTAAGCTTCTTCATTTAATGACTTGATGATTTTTCGGCTATTTTCTATTTTCAGCCTTTATAAAAATTCAAGCCATTAATTAGAGAATTACCATGCGATACAATATATTAAATTTCGCTTAATTCAGATATTAACGAGCAATAATTCTTGCAGAAATAATAAAACCTTTCGTTTATGTAGGCTTAGAATTTTTAAAATATAATTACTGATTGTGCAAAATTTCATTGTTTCATTGTGAAATGAAATGATTTTTAATTATGTAAAAAAATGTTTAAAATGTAGTTGGTTAGTATGTGCTACCACCTGTTGGACATATTCAATTGGCGGGAAAATTAAATGAAAATTCTTTATATTGTATAGGAAACGTAGCTGTAATGAAACATAAAGGTAGAGATGTAAGTCAACGTATATAAATTTTTCGAGTATTGATATTTCAATTTTATTTAAAACAAAATAACGAGTCGCAGTACAATAAATATCTATTAATAATCATATTGATAATTTTATGAGAATAATAAGATCTTCAATTCTCATTTCACATTCGGCATTTTTCTTTACGGATTATATTGTTACAAAATCTCTTTTAAACAAAATAAAAACAAAAAAAAATACAAAATAAAAATAATACACGGAATTCATTTATAATATCGTCGCAAAATAAAATATAACTTGTTTTTTCTCTTAAAAAAAACAAATCCTACTTGTTCAAGATTTGGTTATATCTATGTAATTATCGATTAGAAAACATATATACTTATATAAAAGATAATAAATTATACGCACTCGCAAACACATACACGTGCACACACACACACACACACACAAAAATGTACATTCGATTTTATATATAAATATATATATTTCAACCGCAAATACGTTAAACAACGACTGACACTTTTTAATTTCAAGATTAAAAAGTCAAGATACTTTACTTATAATAAATTGAAAATAATAAAAAAATCAATGTGACGTAACATTATTAATTGTAATGAATTGCTACAATAGTTTTCGTGATTCTAATATAAAATATACAATTGTACTTAGACGTTTAATATATTTGAAAAATCTTCGATATAAAATATATTGATTTTATTATCTAAGACATTACCGACAAATGTTGATGGCATTTTTAGAGAATGTAAGTATTGGATCACGCATTACTTTAATCATATTATGACTTAATATAAATGTCAAATTTATTGCTACTAATTCGTTTATAAAAGGAAGCACAACACCATGTCCATTTTGTCAAGACTTTTCGCATAGTTTGTTTATATTGGGCATTTAATATCTAAATTCGATTGTTGCATATTTAAAAATATTTATTTACACCTAGTTTAATAAGTATAAATTTCTTATTAATTTAATTTATATTAAGAAACTATTGTAAATATAATGAAGAGCTTTAAACAAATATTATCTAATATGTAACATTATTTTATAATTTCCTAAATATCAAAGCAAATAAAAAAAGTACTTTTAATAAAGGTGAATAAGATTCAAATGTTGTCTTCTTTTAATTGGAAACTATTGTGTAGTCAATCGATATAATGCAAATCAATTTAATCGATAGAAATAAACTTCGCTATATGTTTAATACAGAAAACAAATTTGGCATTATTTTGAATGTAAATGCAAAAAATTGTATGTAATTGTAAAAAATGTTGACTCATATTTTTTATAATTATTTTTATAATAAATTTTTTCATAAAGTAGAATACTTTATAATATTAATATACTAAAATATTTGCTGCACGTTCATTCTAAATAGTGTAATACATTTTTTTTGTAATACAATTGATGATAAAATAAAAAATTTACATTTCTTGAAAGTTTTAGATTATTTAAGTATAGTATTTAGATTTTATTTAATTTCATATTCATAAATCGTTAATCTACATTAATATTATTAAAAATAATATACTCCGATAAGTTTTTCTAATAATTATGGGAAATAAAGACATATTTAAATACAAACGAAACGTTGAAAAAAATTTTTTCAACAGACTTCTCGCGCATTAATTTTGAATATGTATTTTAGATATTTTTTATTTGTACATAAAGCATGTTACAAAAAAAAAAATACATATATATATATATATATATATATATATATGTATTAATCAATATTTTTATAACGTTAGATTTACGTTACCTTGTGAGAGTGATGTATATATTTGTTTTTATATTTTTATTATAATGAAAGTTTACGAAAAACGTGTCAATATAAATTTCTTATATTTATTATATTTTCTTTTATTATACTTATATTTCTATTTATATTGCTAGTGGAATGAGAACCGATAGAAGCTTGAAAACACTGTGCAATAGGTGAATCGCGAGTAAAAAATATCAAATCGTAAAATACATACTAATGCTTAAAAAATGAGTCTCAATATTAAAAAACAATATGTGAATCTTAATCGCTCTATCAAATTATTTACAGCAACTCGGATTAGAATCTTCGGTGAGGGAAAAAATGAAAATATAACAAATTACGTAGTAAGCATAAAAAAAGCTAATACAATACGAATGGAAAGTTTGTTTGGAGCTGGCAAACAAACAAGAGGAGAGAACAAGGTCACAGGGTATAAATGGTCTTGTGGCTCGCGACGTACTCGCTGATGAAAAGAAGGGAAAAAAAAGAGAAATGTCGAAATCAACTCTCTCCCGAAGACTCTCGAATGCCGTCGGAGGCTCACGAAGGACGATCCTATGTACCTGCTACATCATATTTCAGGGGCGTCTTAAATAATCGAACGATTTGATCGTTTGTTTTTAAAATGGTCCAATTGCTTATGCTGCTTTTGTATGCGAGTCGCTTTGATTTTTCAACGCACACACTTATACTATTATCAAGTGCATACCATTCGAATAGATATCCCCACAACGGCAATGCATTCCAATTAATAATTCTATTTTTTTTATCATATATATAGCTGGCGTAATTTTTGTCTTTGAAATACTAATAGTTAATAATTAATAGAGCCATTAAAAGCAAATTTTACATACAATAGCTATTAATAAGCTTAGGATTTCCGTTTTGCGTTATGACGTGAAGTCTTTATATTTTGCCCAAGACTAACCATAAACACAATGGTACCAAAAAAGTACAAAAAAAAAACGTTGATATTTTGGTTGATATGGAATAGGCCGAAATATCACTTCTTACATTTTGGCTCTTCCTCTACTGTGATTGTGCATCCTTGATGAAAATCCGCTTCAAAGGCAGGATTCACCAAACCATTCTGTTGCGTATGTCTCTGTCTTACGCCGCTTTTGTTATCTTTGTTACTTTTCTCCAAATCCTTCTTATGATCAGCTTCGATGGAGTTATCGGTCTGGGCGCTCTCAATGATATCCAGATTTTTGGCATTGTTAATGGCCTCTATATCGTCGACGATGTAAGGTTCTTGTTGAGTCTCCAGGGCGATCTTTTCCTTTCGTGCTTTACTCTCTTCCAGATTCTGAGTTGCGCTGATTGCAATACTTGGCTGAGTCTTTGTTTTCGGTGTTTTTTTCACAATGTCGTTGCCCTCTACCTGTGGCTGCTTCATTAAATACGTAATGTTGAAGAGTAGATAGATCAAACCAGTAACGAGAGACATCACGGCAAAAATTTGATATGTTGGTCGAGTACCAAAGGCTTTCATTAAATATCCACCAATTAGGCTTCCCGATCCTTTGCCTGTTTAAAGAAAATATCATTTTTAGCCGAATCTTATAAAAACGATGTATAATTTAATTGTAGGAATGTCATTTATATTATTTTATCTTTCATAACAGTATTTAGGCACTTACGAATAAAAACAACAACAACAACAGAAGAATAACATTCGTGCAAAATATTTAAATCAATATTATCGAGTTAATTTTATGAATATATCTAATAATTACGGCTTAAATGTATTATGCGTAATAAATAATACGTTTAACAATAGATTTGGTCAAATATATTTATTTCATTCGCACCTGTCAATAAAATAATGTATTATCTTACCGACTCCATAATAAAGTCCGCCTAATAATCCCTGAATAGAACTATCTGTAGTCGTAGTAGAAAGTTTCGCGGCATAAGTGACAGCTGCAGTAAAACTTAAAGAAGATGTCACAGATTCTAATGCTTCGAAAATTAAACAGAGCCAAGGATTGTAAATTAACGAATATCCTAAAATATAAATATTAATTATTAAAAGTACAATGATTAACTTGCACTCGCAAGTGCAATTAATTATATTATCATGATTATTTTATCTATTATTTATTTTTATTTTTTTTTTTTTTATCGAAAGTATATTGTTTACCCAAAAGTCGAATAGCATAGAAGATAAAACCGATAAATATGACATTAGCATGTCCTATTTTATTTATAATTGGTCCAGATAAAACCAATAATGGAATTCCAGCTATACCACCGACTGTTATCGTAATGCCCATAAGAGATCTTGACGCACCCAAATCCTCGAGAAGCCAAAACAGAAACGATTCAATGTACCCCCATGCTGTTCCTGAAAAAAAGGAAATTACATAAGTTACTTTATGTATACTAAATTTTAGTTATAATTTTTATAATTTGTACAATTGGTAAGATATTAGTCTTTATAAACTATTTTTTACATTCAACTCGGATTAAATTGTTTGAGTAGCAGATAAATTAATTTCTTTTGTATTTAGTATTATATATTATAATGATGTAAAATAAAAATTTATTTTTAAAAGAAAAATCGAATGATATTTCTTTTTTAATAAATCATTAATAAATATTTATAATAAAAATTTGTACAAATGCCATTAAAACTTTAGACGACGGTATACAGTATTACTATACAGTAATGATAAATCTATTAAAATAACATTACTGATGTTTCAATGCTAGAGGATAATAAAATTAATAGTACGAAATCAATTTGAAGTGAAAATTTGTTTTAGTTGAGAAGTGAATTGTAAAATTACAAAATTACAATATTCTAAAATTAATATTTATAATATTTTTATAAAAATAATATTTTTTAATTTAATTGTATTAATGGTTCAAATTTAATGTTCAAATTTACTGTTTAATAATATTTCTTTAATATTCTTATTATGAAAATAATTAAAGGATATATTATTACCGTATGATTGAGTGTATAAATGAATAAAAAATACTTTATTATGAATTTTAGGCAGGCTGGGTCAAAAAGGGAGGGAGAGAGAGAGAGAGAGAATTACATATATAATATGTTGGTTAGATCGTGTATTTTAATTAGGAGTAAAATAAAAAATCTATGATATTACTAATCCGAATGTAATCGATTATTATGTACAATAAATCAATATTGAAAAAATTATTAAATTGAAATCTAGACATATAGTTCACAATCAATCATTCAGCATAGATTTTCATCCGTATGACAATAAAATGGACATTAGTAATAATAAAGACATAAGTATTCACATTTTATGTATTAAATAAATTTAACGTAATTTAATTAAATATATAAAGTATCGATAGATCTACTATACGACCACGGATGTTTGTTTCTGACAGACAAATATATCTCTAATTAAATAATGAAAAGTTTTTCAAAATTTATTTTTACTATTTCTGGACATTTTAAATTAGACACATTATAAATTAGAGAACAATCGTTAAACTTGAGTGAATATTAAATTAATATATCAGAATATTAATATTATATCTTAATAATATTTTAATACATATATATTTAAAAATGTTGCTTTTATTAATTTCTAATTTTCAGTTCATTATATTTACACACAGAATATTTTAAATATTATAATTTAGAGGAACGATAGACGAAAAATTCGAAGATATTTTTAACAGTCTATGATTATAATTAAAACAATTTTTCTTATGATCGTCGATAGAATCAACTTAACGAATGAATATTTTTAATAAAAATAGAGCCTTGTAAATATTTATAAATAAAATATCAATTATTTTGTAATACCGCTGGTTGAATTACATATATTGCAAATATTTTTATCTTAACATATTTTTCTGATTGTATTTTTCCGATATACATACGTGAATATATTTAATAGTTTATACAAATATATTTTAACGAAAAGAAATATTATGAATTGTGTCTAATGATAGTTAAATTTCAGTTTATACCGTTAAAGTATAATTTATAAAATTTATCGCTCTAATCTCTTGATATGACACGGATTTGCTATAATTTTTCGATAATTTCAGAGGCATATTCATGATGATTTTTATATGAAAGCAGTTTTAAAAATATAAAACAATAAATTATAGAAAATTGCATTTACTTATTTATACTGTCTATCTGTATGGCGTACATATTTATATTTATTGAATATTTATAAATATATGTTTAAAAGGTATGGTACTTTTATGTTTATTCTGAAATTCAATATTCCACTAATATCTTATATACTTGTGGTGTTTGAATTTTAACTTAACTTTTTGATGTTAAACTATAGCGTAATTCTTAGCTTGTAAAAGCAATTGGGATTATGGGAAAGACATTGTTATGTTATATGTAATGCTCAATAGATAATGAGATTTAGGGTTTATATGAACGAATTTCAATTATGATTTCTGAGTGAAATGCGAAGCATTTCACTTATCCCTGCAATGACATGAAATACGAAATAATATTTTCATTAAATTCTATATTTATCCTATATATTAACAGTCGTTAATTTCATTTTTCACCCACGTGAATAATTATTACAATGTAATTAAATATTTCAATGATTCTCGCAGAATGTACATATAATGTATAATTGATGGAAAACGGCTTTGTTATAATGCATTGTCCATCTTTTACAGAACAATGGTCCTTGACTTATCGATCCAACCCTAATTGCGCGTATATATATTTTTCAAGATAAATAAAATGACCAATTAATGTATGATTAAAACAGTTTATACGGCATTTAGACTCACTTTTACGCAAAGATTCTAATGCTGAATTTATATTTTTGCTCGACTTAAACAGAAGAGAAATATGAATAATAATATAAAAATTTCAAATTTATGATTTTTCAGATATCAACTTTTTCAACTTTTCAGATACTTTTTTATTTCGAAAGTATGCGATGGTGAGAAAATAAAATATAATTTCCGCTACGATCGATCATTACGTTTAGCCTATGATATTAAGTTTGGAATTAAATCACGCGAAGTGTAAACACAGATGAAAAGAGAATTAGCCATGAATTTTTGGTAAATAAAACGAGAATTTATAAAAGAATTATATACAGTAGCACGGCATTGATATTCAGGCAAAATAAAAAAGGAATGCGTCAGCAGCGCCTGACGTTTCTTTCTAAACGATAATGAATCGCTTCGTGATAAGTATAATTATGTTATGGCAACAATCCGCCTAATGGAAATCAAAGTGATTGTTACATACGTAAATGAAAAAGTCGAGTTTACGTATATACGGTAGCTATAAAATCAATTTTATTAATGTATATCGCCATTGTGCAACTTCATTATTGTCTTTAATTTATTGTTTGAATAAACAAGCTGTTTTTCAACATTAAAAAGGGGACAATATTGCTTTGAACATTAGAATTGTAATATGTACGTAAGAAATTCTGCAATTGTATGTGTTTTGTTCAACGCGGCTTTTCAATCGGTTTTTTCTTCTTTCTTCTTCTTCTTTTTCTTCTTCTTTTTCTTCTTCTGTTTCTCTTCTTTTTTTATTTAACGTGGATCAAATATTTAATTCAAGTATTAGCTTATGTTTAAATATGATGTAACGTACCTAAAACGAAGCAGGCGGCCAATAGTGCGGCTATTTCAACATTTTTCAATACCGAGACGACATCGCTAAAAACATTCGAAGCTGGTGCTTTGAATTCCAAATCTATCCACAGCATGAGAACACTTGAGAATATCTTCAGAGCGGCATACAGATAAAATGCTGGTCTGAAATTAATGGAATCATTTCATGACTAACGAGAATAATATTTTCTGTAAAAATATTATTTATTTGAGGTTAAGGTTGTATGAGTAATTGAAACACCATGGGGATAAAAACACCTAAATTTAAACAAACAATTTTATTTAAATATTGTTAATGTGGAGCATTGCCAAATCGAAAGTAATATGTTTTGAATTCCATTATTACTATTGAATAAAATGTTTGATTAAATTAAATGAATCTACATTTGGTCAGAAAAGTGCGCGTGAAGTTATTTAATGAGAATTAAGATTGTGATGTAAAAGCTAATAAAACAATATTTGTATTTATTACTGATTTATATTTATAACTGATGCCCTATAGTTTTATATTTATTTATGTCTTACACGAACTGTTACATTTACAAGAGTATAGTCGAGTATTATTATTAAAATAACAATACGTTATATTGAATTATTCACTAGTTATATATTTTGGATATTAGTTTTGAACGAGCATAATTCATAATCTCCTGCTTATCTTTACAATCGTATTATGCTGCAAATATTAATATTTAAAAAACTTTTGCAAAATAATGATAATTAGTGTTCATCGTCGTATTGTTACTATAATGCACACTAAATATACAATAATACATAATATAATATTGACGTATCAATTAATATTAATGATAATGATAATAATAATAATAATAATAATAATAATAATAATGATGATAATGATAATAATAATAATAATAATAATAATGATAATAA